TTGGTGGGAAGGGCTCTCAAACATATTGTGTTGGATTGAGAAATGGCAAGAGAAAAATATAGTAGAATTGTCTGATTGAGGATTGAGGGCCTTAAACAGTGTTTTTTTGTTTGTTTGTTTGTTTGCTTTCTGAGACAGGGTCTTGCTCTGTTGCCCAGGGTGGAGTGCAGTGGTGTGATCTTGGCTCATGGCAACCTCTGCCTCCCAGGTTCAAGCAATCCTTCCACCTCAGCCTCCCAAGTAGCTGGGATTACAAGCATGTGCCATCGCACTGGACTAATGTTTGTATTTTTAGTAGAGACAGGGTTTCAGCATGTTGGCCAGCTGGTCTGGAAATTTTGACTTCCAGCGATCCACCTGTCTTAGCCTCCCAAAGTGCTGAGATTACAGGTGTGAGCCACTGCACCTGACCAAGAGTTTTGGTTTTATCCAACTCGGAATAGGAACTATTCAGCTACTGATTTTTTTTAAAAAACTAACTTGTATTGCATAATCAAATTTTAGAAAAGTAATTTTCCTGAAATGTATAGAATAGACTTAAAAGATTATTTGAATAACATAAATATAATTGAAATGAGTATGTTGAGAATTAAAACGCTGTTTAGTAAGATCCACACCAAAATATATGTGCAAAGTTGGAATCTATCACTCTTTGTAACTAATGCCAAGAATCAACATCTTTGGAAAATACTTCAAAAGCGTTTCAATGAACCTGGAGCAGTGGCTCCTGCCTGTAATCTCAGCACTTTGGGAGGTCAAGGTGGGTGGATCACTTGAGCTCAGGAGTTCGAGACTACCCTGGGCAACATGGTGAAACCCCGTCTCTACCAAAAATACAAAAAAATTAGCTGGGCATGATGACAAGCACCTGTGGTCCCAGCTACTCAGGAGGCTAAGGTGGGAGAATCTCTTGAGCCTGGGAGGTTGAGGCTGCAGTGAACCGAGATTGCACCACTGCACTCCAGCCTGGGTGATAGAGTGAGATCCTGTCTCAAAAAAAAAAAAAAAAAAAGCCTAAAACAACAACAACAACAACAACAACAACAACGACCACCAATAAAAAAAAATAAAAAAAGAATTTCAAGCCTGGTGAGGTGGCTCACACCTCTCTGTAATCCTAGCACTTTGGGAGGCCAAGGCGAGAGGATCACATGAGTTCAGGAATTCAAGATCAGCCTGAGCAACAGACTTAGACCTCATCTCTACTAAAAATAAAAAATTAGCCAGGTGGAGTGGCAGGCACCTGTAGTCGCAGCTACTCAGGAGGCTGAGGCAGGAGGACCCCTTGAGGCCAGGAGGTCAAAGGTGCAGTGAGCTGTGTTTGCACCACTGTACTCTAGCCTGGGCAACAGAGCGAGACCGTGTCTCAAAAAAAAAAAAAAAGAGTTTTAGCTAACCAAAATTTTAGTTAACTAAAATTTTAGTGAGACGGGAGAAATAAATTTTGAGATCTGTTGTACAGCAGAGTGACTATAGTCAATAATAATGTACTGTATATCTTAGAATAACCAAGAGAGTAAATTTCAAATGTCTCACCACAAAAGTGATGTGAGGTGACAGTTATGTTAATTCATTTGATTTAATTACTTCACATTGTATACATATATCAAAATATCACAACATACTCCATAAATATATACAATTATGACTGTCAATAAAAATAACATTAATAAAAATAAATAAATTTTCAAAAAGCTTAAAAAAAGAAACTAACACCTACTGGATGAAAATGATTGGTATTAACCTGTTCCTGGTTGCCATTCTTTTTAACTGCTGAGTAATATTCTATTAGGCAAATACAGTTGTCCCTCAGTACTCTCAGGGGGACTGGTTCCAGGAACAACCCCTCCATACCAAAAGCAGTGGATGTTCAAATCCCTTATATAAAATGGCATGGTGTTCCATCCTCCTATTATTTTAACTCATCTCTAAATTATTTATAATACCTAGTACAAAGTAAGTGTAATATAAGCAGTTGTTATAGTGTACTTCTATTTGTGTTTGTTTATCTCTGTAGTTCTTTTTATTCTTTTTCCCCTAATATTTTTGATCTTCAGTTTTTGAATCTACAGATGTGGAACCCATGAACATGGAGGGCTGACTGTATATCATAATTATCTGCTCTGTTGTTGATACATTTGGAGTTGTTCCTGCTTTTGCTTATTACAAGCAAAGCTTGGCATAAACATTTATGTCCAACTTTTTTTTTGGAGGACGTAGATTTCCATTGTCTTGGATGAATCCTTAGAAGTGTTGAGTCATATGTTAGGTGTAGGTTTATAATTATAAAAATTACCAAAATTTCCCAAGGTGATTTTAATATTTTGTAATCCTACCAATATATGTAGGAGAGTTCTGGTTTTCCATATCCTTGTCAATATTTGATGATGTTAGTCTTTTTAATTTTAGTCATTTTTGTGGGCATGAAATGGTATCTCATTTTGGATTTAATTTGTATATTTCTGCTGACTAATGATATATAATACTTTTTCATATGTTTATTGGCCATTTGTAAATTTTCCTTTCTCAAATGCCTGTCCAAGTCTTTTGCCCGTTAAACAAAGTTGTTTGTTCGTGTTTATTGTTGAATTGTAGGAGATGTTTTCTATAATCTAGGAATTGTGTGTATCAGAATATTTTCAGCTATCAAGAGTATTCAGATATATGTATCATCTAGACTGTGGCTTGTCTATTCATTTTCTTAATGGTGACTTAGGATAAGTGGAAGCTTTTAATTTTGATGAAGTCTCTCTCTTTTTTTTTTTTTTTCTATTATGGTAAGAGCTCTGTGTATCCTAAGAAATTTTTGCCTATGCAAGGTAAGAAAGCCATCTTTTAAAAAAGCTATATTATATTTTAATAGTGTCATATATTTTAGCTTTTATGTTGAAGTGTACAATTCATCTTGAATAAATATTTGTGTTTACAATGTAAGATAAGAGATGGAGTTCATTTTTTCCTCATTGATGTTACATTACTGGGCATTGACTTTTAAAAAATTGTTTTATTTTATTTGTAATTTAGAATAATTGTATATATTTATGGGTTACAATGTGATGTTTTGATACATGTATACATTGTAGTATGATCAATTCAGGCTCATTATCTGTCACCTCAAATATTTATCATTTCCTTGTAGTGAGAACATTTGAAATCCTCTCTTTTAGCTATTTCGAAATAGGCAACATTATTATTAACTGTAGTCACTGTGCTGTGCAATAGAACACCAGAGCTTAGTTCTCCTCTCTAACTGAAACTTTATACCTATTAACCAATGTCCCCCTTTTCCCCGTCCACCTTTCTGTCCTCCAGCCACTGGTAACCACCATTCTACTTTCTATTTTTACAAGTTTGTCCTTTTTAAAATTTCACATATAAGTGAGATTATATGGTATTCGTCTCGCTGTGCCTGGCTTATTTCACTTAGCATAATGTCCTCTAGGTTCATCTATGTTGTTGCAAATGACAGAATTTCCTGTTTTTATAGGGCTGAATAGTATTCCTGTGTGTGTGTGTGTGTGTGTGTGTGAGAGAGAGAGAGAGAGAGAGAGATACATAATATATATCCATTTATCTGTTGAAACACTTAAGTTGTTTCCATGACTATTAGAATAGTGCTGCAATAAAAATGGGAGTGCAGACATCTCTTCGACATACTGATTTAATTTCCGTGGGATTGGGGAATTGACTTTTGATAAGCAAACTTAGTATACAATACCTCAAAAGCCAGAATGCCAGTTATTTTGTGTTATAAATTGTTTGGCTATCAATTCGTATTTTTGCATGAGATAGTTATCTTGCAGGTAGGCCCTTTGAGAATACTAGAAGGTAGTCTTGATTGATTCTTCTTGAAACTGAAATTAGAGTAAAGGGACATCCAAACTCTTATCCAATGAACTACAATGACATATAACTCACTCAAGCCTTTCTTTTTCTAAATTTTCTTCCCAAATAAAACAGCAGCAGCAAAAACAAAGACAGCAAAACCTTATGCATTTCTTACAGCTTTATGATGTGTTTCAGTGTCTACAGTGACTGCTGAGTTTGCATCTGTTGCATGTTATATCTTTCTGGTAACATATGGAAGAAGGTTCATATTCATATAAGGATGCTAGATCTAAAACATAATGTGGAATCATGTACAACTCAGTACTACTTGGTAGCAATAACCAGAAACCCACCTTCAAGGAGTGTAAGCAAAAAAGGAATTGAATTAGATTACATAATTTGACAAGTCCAAAGGCTGGAGTTGGTTAAAGCAAAATTTGTATTGAAAATTTTTCTTACATAAAAAAGGTAAAACAAATTTGGTAAACCTAATTTTTCTTAATAGTGCAAGTAGTTAACTGTTGTCATTCCAGGAAACTATTATTTGTGGATAGTAAAACTGTTTGGAGACTTTAAAAATACCCTATAACAGTTAAAGGCAGAGCAAATTACTTAAATAAAATTGCGATATTTACCCTAAATAGTAACAGTACAATTTGCATCAGTTCTCTAGGAAATTATCTGCAATTAAAAAAAAAAAGAACTGAAATTAATCAGTATTAATTTGATGTGTTAACTCAAATTAATCAGTATTTTCTTTGTACACTCAGATTGCAACCTAAGTATTAGTCTATTGAGTTTGGTTTAGTAGGTATTTATTCAGGAATTTTACAAAAACAAGGAAACAGAGAAGAGGAATAGTGCCGTGCAGATGACCTCGGGGTTCAGGCGACACTCAAATACCTCCTTCTCCTCTGTGTTTATTACCATCTCTTACTTGGTTGACGTTTAGACATATTGCAGGAGATAGTTGAAAAGCAGAGGTTAACTGCATTTCCAGTGGTGTTTTGCCCTGCTGGTATTTGTTCCTCGGTGCTGCTGTGCAAAGGGCCAGAGCTGCATCCAACGGATCTTTTCTTCAGGTTGTGCAGGCTGGCTGCCTTGATGTCGTAGTTGCTGATGTTGGCTGCCGACGAACCTTATTCCTTTACATTTGCCTGGTCCTCATTTAACCGGAAAACACAGTAGCTGTAGCTGCACATAGACTTTTCCTCTTTCTGTTTCCCCCTCATCCCCCTCCCTAGACTTCTCTGGGCTTTGACGTCATGTGTGCTCCTTTCAGTTGCCATAGCAACCCCATTCCCCAAGCCCTCTGTCCGTCTCCTCTGGTAGGTTCCACAATGGTACAGGCAGCATCACGCTGCACAATGGTTTCCAGGCAGTGAAAGAGGGTGATTCAGCAAGCCACTCTTCTTCTTTTTTCTTTAACCTCCCCTTCACTTTTTATTTTTATGGGGGTGGGTGGTGCTTGCTATATGCTTACCTTTTTCTTTTCTTTTTTCATTTTTACAAATTTCCTTTTTTGTCCTCACCCCTCAATTCCTAGGGGCTTGAGTGAGTTTAAGATTGGGTTTTCTTGGAAATCACCTGTCCGTCGTTAATTTTAAACAATCTCCCTATCTCCAAAGAATCTCTTCCATATTACAATCTGGAATGTGGTTAATGAAAAACAAGTAGGGAGGATTTCTGGGGCAAACACTGCCGGATCAGGATCGTAGTTCTCAGGCACGGAATGGTAGGTGGCTCTTTGCTCGTTCTGGGTTCTAACCTGTTTTTGGAGGGTGGGGTGATGTCTGTTGATTGCTCTTGGTGGGGCGGGAGAGGGAGTATGGAAGAGACGAGAGAGATGGGTGGAAAGCAGGTTAATCAAGTGAACTAGCTTTGAGGCAAGAAGCCACCAGCTTTTCCCTCTGTACAGAACATCTCTTCCCAGACTTGGGCGTGTTGAAACCTTTCTGTTTGGACTGAAGGGTAGCAGAGGGAGGGAGGGAGCATTCTTATTGTGACCAGGGGTTTTTAGGCCAATGCAGGGCTACAGAAGGGAAGGGAGAGAGAGAGAGAAGCGCACACACACACACACACACACACGCACACACATGCACACGGAGAGAGAGAGAGAAAAAGAAAAAAAAACACCAAACAGCTGTGCTTGTTAGAAGTGCTGACCTTAGTCCCATATCTGAAAAATGTGATGGGTTCCACAAAACATTAAAAATAATGTCTTTTAGTATGTATTTATGTCTACTTTTGTGAGAAGTATAACTTAAATATTTTAAGATGTATTTTACTAAGGAACAGTATTTATATATTTATTAGGTGTAAAACTATTGGCGTTACTCTTGCAGAGCAACTCCAGGCTAAATCTGAGCTGGGGAGAGGAACACAGAACAGGGGTCAGGTTAGAGATAAGAGGAAACATTGGCACTGCAGTCAAATAGGTAACGGGTCCCTTTAAGAAAGTGATCTCCTAGTCACAGCAGGCAGCTTTCTTTTTTCATGGCAAGGTTCCCAGGTATTCTGTGCTGGGATACTGTGTCCCCTACAAATGTCAGAGCTCTTTTGAAAAAAAAAATCAGAAATAAGTATGGCAGTATATTTATTAGGATCTACGTGTTTGTGTCTTCAACAAAATAAAGGTAATTTACTGGAAAATCTATAAGTAAATCAGGCTATAGATATTACAAGAAAACTATCTATCCATGTATTTTTCTCACCCTCCCCCCACATTTAAATCTAGAGACCTAGTCTCTGCTTTTACTCCCTTAAACAGATAACTTCCCGGGGTACTGCAATTTAGCCACAGAAAAAGAATGGCTTATCCCACAGCAGTAGGCTCTGAAGCCATCACAAGGTTGTTTACATGGGCTGCCTTTGGTGCAGAGCCTGACAGTGTCTGTACAGCAGCCCTGCCTGCTTCTGGCCATGTTGATGATAACTTTTATGAACAAACTGCAAGGAAGCAGGCTAAGTCATATGGGACAGGCCACAGTTCAGGTGGAAGGAAAATGAGTGTAAATGCACCAGGCATTGCCAGTACAACATCCGATATCTCCTTCTATCCCTAATCTGTTAGTTGTCAGACCCTGGAAGATCTCACAGAATGCTTATCAACATATTTAAAATGGTTGCAGTCAGGAACATTTCTCTCAGAGAAGCTTCTGTGAATTTTCTACTTTAGGTGAGCATATATGTTATGAATATATAACAAGTAAATATATAAATATATCACAAGCTTCTGACTCCACTTCAGAACCATTAGATTTTAGGGGTTGGATGCTTTGGATGTAGCAGTTTGGCTGCCTCTGGTATGTATGCCCCTCTCTACCTTGATCACACTCTTAAAATTGACATAAAGTATTGGATTAGCTTATTTTATTATGTAGAGCAAGCTGGGTTTTCTCTCCCCTACAATGGGACTAGAAAATCAGATGACAAAGGTGGTGTGACCTTAAATATCAGAGAGTCTTCATGTTTCCTCATATGCATGTCATTCCTCTGCTGTTGCAAAGTGTCTTTAATTTGAGGGGCTCCTGTTCTTAAAAAATCCTCACAGTTTCAGTAAAAAGATTCTGGATAATGAGGCAGTAAGAAATTACATGTAGAGTGGGAAAATCAGCTGCCTCCAGCTTCCTTCCTGCTCGCCCCAGAACAGCATCTGCTGTTGAGAGGAGTGTGTTTGCCATGCTGGAAGGGGATGTTTATGAACAGATCCCAGAGGGACTGAGTGTGTTTTTGCTGTCATTGTCTGGTATGTCTGCAGCTATTAGTATTTAATGGTCTCATAGTGCATGGTCTATATATTTTAAGGTTAGAATGATCTGAGAATTTGTCAATGCTATAAAATGTAAATATTTTAAATTTATAGGAAAATTAATAAGATTTTCCTTCTTAGTATATCCTACAGGAATATCATAAGCAAAACAAATTTGCCCAACCTAAGTAATCTAAAAAAACCTCCCATGTTTAAAGGCATAAATGTATTTTTAAGGTTTTATTGTGGTTTCATATAAATGAATCTGTTTCTTTGGATGTAAGCCTAGTTATAAATTCTTTTTATACTGATACTAAAAGCTAAAGACAAATTGGATGTTTACTTGTTTGTGAAATATGGGGATAGATGTTCTCTCTTCATGCTCTAGTTCTGGCCTCAGGTCACATTTGTAGCCAAAGGACTTTCAGTGGAATTGTTGTATTCACATCGAGTGATTGCTTGGTTTCTTATCAGAATAAAGGACTCGGAGCAAGAGCAAGAATGAGAAGCAAACACATTGTTGTCTTAAATTCTTTCTTCATTGCCCTTTCTATTTCCTCTTACAGTCTCTTTTAAGCTTTTGGTTGGACATTGCAACAATCATGCAGAAAGAGGCACGGAAGTGTCCAGTAGTGACAAGAATGGAGTACAATGCTCTATTTGCTGCAGGACTGCTGAGTGCCTTCCTCCTACCACACATGCATCTATTATTACACCTTCTTCTGAGGACCAAGGACTTGTGGAAAAAGTTGGGCCTGTAGACTAGTTGGGGAGACGCTTACTGGTAAAGAAGAACAGAGTACATTTGCTTCTTTGGCATATTGGATGTATTTATTGCATTACATAAGTCTGAGATGAGACACTGTACTGCTGATTCAGATAAAAAGATCATGCTGCATATTGATTGTTTAAAAAATGTAACTTAGAATTCGAGCCCATCTTTTCACAAATTCACCTACCCGTACGTGTTTGCATAGCGAAGTTGTAAGGTTTTGACTCAAGGTTTTTCAGTTTGAGTACATTTTATCCTCATGAGCCAGTCAAGGCAGAGAAGGGGAAAATACAAAAACTGTGTTTTATGTACCTTTTGTTTTCTGTATTTAATAGGGTTTATTTCTTATTGTGAATCTTGGTAGAAACTCTTAAGAGGAGATACCAGGTAATATTGAAAATCACTAAATAGAAACATTTTAGGTTTAAAAAGTAGACCTCACACATATATTACTTCTAGTAAATGATTTTCTAGTTTATTTGATGTTTTGGATCCATAACAAGCCACTATGGCTTTCCTTACAGTTCTTATCTCTGGTGACTATGAGATGTAAAACCCTTGAGGCTTATGGAAATAATGCTCGTAGGAATGGAAATCAAAGTTTTCAGTGGAAAAAGAAATGAATACAGTCTCCTGAGAAGCATCCCTAACCACAGCCGCTCTAAAACCCTGCGTGGTGTGCAGGTTTAAGGCAAAGCTTCCCTATAGGGCAATCGGGCAGTTGCAGTGACCTACACAGTAATAAACAGGATTTTCACTACCTTGTGTTTGTACGTGTGTGTGTGTGTGTGTGTGTAAAGAAAAACAAAAACAAAAACAGCAGTGACTTTAAAGTTCTAGAAATTCATCTTAGTGACTTGTCTTCATAGAAATAAAACTGACTCCTGTTTGTCTGTGTTAACCTGCCTGGGTACCCTGTGTACTTTCTGAAAATGGATTGCTTAAAGCAATTATCCTCTTCTTATACATTGGAAATAGGATCTGAAAGCACTGATAGTGAAGTGAAGCTCTTAGGTTAGGTCTGTTTATTTGGCAATGTTTATTCGGTGTTTGTAGGTGGAAGCTCCATCACAGCACTTATATAAGATAGTAATTGCCTATTCTTGTATTACCTGTATTCTCTACTAAGGTTTAATCCCCATCAGGGACTGACCTTGTCTATTTGGCACACAATAGGGACACACCAAATATTCATTGAATGAATCTCTCTCATGTACTGAGTTCTCTGCTAAGTGCTATGGTAGAAAAAAATTGGGAAACTGTAACACAGTTTCTGCCATTTGGGAAGATGAGGCTAAATAACAATAAAGATGGTGTAAAATCAAGGGATCATATTAGTGTTTTGATAATGAGTGCAATAGAAATTCACAGGAGAAAGGAATTCACCTCCTCTGAAGTGGTGGTAGGTGACAATCGGGCCACACTGGGGTGTCAGGGTGAGGTCGTGGGATAGTGAGAGGGTGGTAGTCCTAGGAGTAATTGTAAGCACCTGGGCAGGAAAGAGACTCTTAGTTGGGGTAAAGAAGAGGCCTATTTTGGGTATGATCACCATATTTTCCAAACTAGAAATAAAAACTTATGGTTTGACATTGGGTAGAATGTCACATATTCTGAAGAATCTTCTTTAATATAATGTTGGGAAGTAACAAGCTATAATGGTGAAAAAGTAGGTTTGTAACTAGAAGAACATAAATACAGGTCTCTTCAGACTAGCTCCAGCTTAGGTTTACTTTCTTTTGCATACTTCAGAGGTTTTCAAAATTCTCCTCCTTTATTGGTACCTATGTAACCATTGTTCCAATGAAATCTTTTATGAAAAGCAGAATAAGTAAATATATGTAACAGTGGAGCTGTCCCAGTTGATGATGAGTGGGATGCCTTGTATTAGAAAACCAAATTCATATCACAAGACCAATTATATCAACTGAAATAATAATTACTAATTTAGTTTATGCTCAGATATTAAAATAGTTGTTCTGGTATTATAATATCAAAGTTCTTGTGCTTGCAATAAATTATGAATGGAGATAACTATCTTGAGATGTTTTCTTTCCTCTGCCTGCACTCACCCACACAGTAACCAGTTGTCTTTGATGTCAGCTTTTTGGTTTTCTAAATACAGGTGAAATTCCCATTTAAATCTTAAAATCAAACTCGTCTGTTTTTCGGCTTTGTTTTCAGGCTAGTGTGAGAAACACCAACGGCAGGCCCATCTCAGATCTTCACTATGGCAACTCATACAAGAAGCTGTTGAATTAGACCCGTTTCCTATAGATGAGAACCCATACAAGCTGTGGTGAGTTGCCAATTTAAAAATATTCCTTAGTATGAAAACTGTGATCTATATAGCCAATTTAAATATTGCATATGGTTTGGTATATGGATCTGGAGAAATACTGCTCCAAATAGTTTCAACTACAGAAGTGAAAATCAATAGAACAGAAGTTTAATAGTTGGTGTGGTACTACTAACACCACACACAGTAGTGAAAATTCTTGAGGTTGAGGTGCATGAGTGCAGCATATAACACTGTAATACTACCACCATGGATGATACCTGCAATTAACATTTTCATGTGGCAGAGTAACAGCTGGGTACCATTATTTTTAAGTGACTTTTATTACTTGCAACATTGTACTATATTTTACAGATTCATCTCCTTTAGTAGAAAAATTGGTTCTGAGCTAAATTATGGTTTTCAGTTTCTTTCAGGAAAACACACACACACACAGACGCACAGACACACACACCGTGTAGCTCTTCTGAAATACGAGAAGAGAAATCACAGTTTTATAAAACTCAATTCATGGGCATTTTAACCTACAAATCCTTTTGCTTAACAAAACAATATTAAAAATAGATCCAGTTGCTCTGCCTAGTTGGAATGACTTTAAAAACTTATTAATTTATAAAAATATCAGCACACACAGGTAGAATGTCCTTTTAAATCAAATACTTGCTGCTTCATAGTCACCAAAGTCAATAATCAATAGATTGCAGCAGAGATGAACGAGTTGTAATCTGTCAGATAACATCTTTGAGAACTAGAGTATGACTGTGGTGCTTATAAAACTCCAAAAGAAGCTATTTTGAGCTAGTGATCAATATCTTTCTTTCATTTGCCTAGTGGCTTATATAACTCTAGATAGGTAGGCTGCCCTGTGAATTAATGCATAATCTATAATTGTGGAAGACTGATGAAATTAATCCTAGAGTTATTTCATATAGTGATTTTATAAAACAATTCATAAAAAACCATCTGTCTACCATTACATTGAGAAAGTAGATCTAATAGCCATCACTATACTGCACTTAATTAACATGTATTCAATGAGTGTTATAAATAATTATATACAATTGCCAATAACAAACCATTTTTGACCTAAAATACAATTTTAGGACAATTTTATATGATGGAACCTAATATAGTATGTGTTACTCCCAGTGATGTAGAAAGCATACTATGTTCTTTCCATTCTGAATATTAATTCATTAATCAAACTCTTATTGAGAATCTGTGATTTCTGTAGCATGTTTAGCTTTTGGGGTAGATAAAAGACAGTCCCTGCTTTAAAGGAGACTTCAGTCTAAAGAGTGTGGTGCTTATAATAAAATGTGCTTATTAATGGGGGTAGTTGTGTTCTAAAGAGTGTGGCACTCATAAAGTGCTATTACATGGGTAAGTCTAGAGTGCCAAAGGAAGTGCATCAGAGGAGACTCTAACACAGATGTGGTAGAGATTAGTCAAGGAAGCCTTCCCAGAGGAAGGGATCTTTTAGTGGACTCTTAAGCACAGTGAAAGGATAGCCAGAGGAAGGGAGGATGCCGTGCACAGTGGGAACATTTTTTTAACAGACCCGGAAGCCTGAGAGAGCATGATTGTGTGGGGATACTAGGTGTCATTTACTATGCTGAAGCAGAAATGGTAGTGGTAGAGATAAAGTTGAAGAGGGTTACAAGACATGTGCCATGAAGGATCTCTTAGACAAAATTAAGGAGTTTGGATTTTGTTTCAAAGTGAAGAGCTTTTGAAAGATTTTAAGTAGGAGTCTGACATAATCAGTTTATTTTTTAATTGTGAAATACACCATACACATAGAAGAGTGTATAAAACAAATACAGGTTAAAGAATAATTATAAATCAAACATAATGTAAACAAATCAAACAACATAAAACAAATCAAACAAATAAATCAAACTTGAAGTAATAGACTCCCAGCAAACCCCTGTGTGTCCCTTTCGGATCATATACTTTTCCTTCCCCACCAGAGGTAACTGCTAGCTACTATCCCACCTTTTGTCATGCACATTACCTTGTTTTTCTTTGTAGGTTTTCCATCTCTCTGTGCATCTCTAGGCTATGAATCTTAGTTCTGCCTATGCTTCAGCTCCATGTATTTGGAATTATAGCATGTATACTCTCAGTTGCCTGATTATTTTGCTAACATTGTGAGATTCTTTCATGTTCATGCATGTAGTTTATTCATGTAAATTGTTGTATAGTATTCTACCATATTAATATGCCAATATTTACTTATCTAGTCTATTGTTGTTGAACATTTGGATTAAATATATTTTACTTAATGCTAGTATAAACATAAATATAATATCATTTTTATGTTTATATATATTAGTTCTCATAGATTCTGATATTTACCCTTCTCTAGGATAAATATCAAGGGAAGGAACTGCTGAGTTTTTGGGTATGTGCGCCTTTAATTTTACTAAATAATTCCAAAATATTTTCCCCAATCAGTTGCATCAATTTACATTCCCAGCAGCAGTATATGAGAAATTCTACATCCTCACCAACACTTGATTTACAAGTTCTTAAATTTTGCTAATCAGGGAGATACATAATTGTACTCTTACAAGTATTAATTTGCCTTTTGCTGATTACTAATGAAGAAGAGCATCTTTCCATTTTTTTTTTTTTTTTGTAATTTGATTTTCATCTTTTGTGAAGTACCTGCTCTAATCTTTTTGAGATGTGTCTTTCAGAATGATAACTAACACTTATTGAATTCCCACTGTGGAATAGTCACTATAGTAAGTACTTTACAAACAGTTCGTCTTCCTAGTATCCCTATAATTTAGAGGTAAGGAAACCAAGGTGTAAAGAGGTTAAATCACTTGCTGACAATCACATAGTTAAGGAACAGTGGACTTAGCATTCAAGTCCAAGTCTTTCTGACTCCAGAATTCTTTACCTTCTCAGAGAGAGTTTGGAAGGGGATTTGAATGGAACTGGGGAGAACATTTAAGGTGCTATTGCAGGAATCCAGTTAAAAAAATAAGTGCATAAACCAAAGAATTGCCAGTAGGGCACATGTAACAAACCACTGGACTTGGTAATGAATGTGGTGGGCAAAGAAGAGGAAGGATTTTAAAAGTCTCAAGTTTTAATACCTGTCAGCTAGGTAGATTTAGTATTAGTCATATAATATTGTATGTGTATATACACACACACACACATTGTATGACTAGTACTGTAATATATTGTCATCTATTGTACATATATTATACAATACATTTTCATATATATATTGTGTGTACATATATATATATATAATACAGGTATTGTGGTAGATACTAAGAATTCATTTTATAAAGTCCAGATATTATAGTAGGTTCTATGAATACATTTTATGAATCTACAAGTCAATGAGACGAATTTAGTTCACAGGCTTATAAATTTTAGGGTTTAAAGCAACGACACTGTTCATTTGGGTCAAATCTTCACATTTTTTTAAAAAGATATGGAAGTAACTGCTAAAAGAGGGTAAGTGGCTTGTCCAAGATCACATGTTACTAAGATCACATGTTACTAAGGTTAAGAATAGATATGATGCCTGCAAAAAAATGCAAAGGAATGACAACCACCTGATTTTTAAATTAACAAGTGATGACACAATTAACCTATTCTATTTCCTAACCATTTCTCAGACCAGTCCCTTTTCATCTAAATCTGTTGTTACTGCCGTAATTTAGATCCTCCTCATCATCTTTAGCAGGTTTATTTAAGTAGCCTAGCATACTATCTTCTTGTCCATTATTCTACCAGTGTAGACACTAGACTTGTTATTTGATTTGCAGTTGTTACCATATAACTGCCCTACTTAAAGAATTTTTGATATACTCTGTCATCCATGTAATAACTTCCCTTTTCCTTAAGACATGCCATACTCCTGGCCGGGCGGGCGGCTCAAGCCTTTGTAATCCCAGCACTTCGGGAGGTCAAGGCTGGTCGATCACCTGAGGTCAGGAGTGTGAGACCAGCCTGGCCAACATGGTGAAACCCTGTCTCTACTAAAAATACAGAAATTGGCCGGGTGTGGTGGCTCAACGCCTGTAATCCCAGTATTTTGGGTGGCCGAAGCAGGCAGATCATGAGGTCAGGAGTTCAAGACCATCCTGGCTAACACAGTGAAAGCCCATCTCTACTAAAAATACAAAAAATTAGCCGGGCATGATGGTGGGCGCCTGTAGTCCCAGCTACTCGGGAGGCTGAGGCAGGAGAATCACTTGAACCTGGAAGGCAGATGTTGCAGTGAACCGCGATCGTGCCACTGCACTCCAGCCTGGGTGATAGAGTGAGACTCCATCTCAAAAACAAAAAAAAAAGAATACAAAAATTATCTCGGCATGGTGGTGGGCACCTGTAATCCTAGCTACTTAGGAGGATGAGGCAGGAGAATCGCTTGAACCTGGGAGGCAGAGGTTGCAGTGAGCCAAGATCGCGCCACTGTACTCCAGTCTGTGCGACAGAGTGAGACTGTCTCTCTCTCTCTCTCACATACACACACACACACACACACACACACACACACACAATGATATGTCATACTCCCATCCATTCCCAGTTTAGACACTCATGACCTTTTAAATTGCCTGGAAACACCAGTGTGCTTCAGTCTCATCACATATACTCAGGTGTTTTCTACGTCTGTGATTTACTTCATGCTGTTTATACTGCCCGCATTCACTCTGCACAGCCCTTACTTACTCCTTTCCATCCTTTAAGACGTCTGTGACCCTGTGATGGTCTGGGGGCTAGCAGCATGGACATCTCCTGGAGTCTGATAGAAATGCAGCATCTGAGGTCCTACTACTTGGACAGATACACTGATTAAGAATCTGCATTTTCACAAGATTCCTAGGGAATTTAAATACATGTTAAAGTTTGAAAGTACTGTTTAGAATCACTTTAGATTTCATAAGATTCTGTCTCCTCCTGGAAACCTCTCAGATCCCTTTCATCCAGCATTCAATCATTCTTGGTGCTCTCACAGTAAC